TACAATCATCTCTATGCAATTTAAAAATGTAAATACCCCATTACTCTCAGCCATTTAATTCCACAAAAATCTTATGACCCTGCATTCAAACTCAAAACTGCACTTGGATAAAAACTGTTCTTAAATCTGGTCGTCCTTGTTCTTAATACCCTAAATCTCCTTCTCGATAGTTCAAAGAGCTGATGTCCCGGATGAGAGGAGTCATTCAATATATTAAGTAATGGCACAGCTTAGTATTAAAAGTAGAAAGAATGCTATGTAATTTACAGGTTTGCAAGGGAATGGGATAGAGTGCTTCAAAAGAATCCTATTTTTCAAAAAGACCCCATTTGTAGGAAGTTTTCCCATGTCCTCTTCTTTGATTTAAGCTTTCAGTTTTGGGTCTATGGAGGTGAGCGGTTGTCACTCTAGTTTTTGACACCAACATATCAATTTGGTTTCCACACAAACACAAACGATAGAGGTTATTGACCTTACTTTCTCCTCAGCAACTCATTCCTTCCTGAGAACCACCCAGACTTTTTGCAGATCTGATTAAGGACAGAAAACTTGTAGAAACAAACCAAAAAAAAAATAAAAAATGCTAACCACTAATGGAAGGAGAATAGCATACGGTATGCTGCTCTCTACTAACAATATCCTCAGGGAGACGATCAAAACTGTAAGATCAAGTCCACAAACATGTGACCAAAACCCTGTCCCCTGTCCCCTATCCCCTAATCCTAACCCTCTACTAACAATATCCTCAGGGAGACGATCAAAGCATCAAGATCGAGTCCACAAACATGTGATCAAAGCCCTGTCCCCCATATGGATCAGGACAGGATTGCCATCTTGACTTTTATGACTGCCTTATAGTCCCCAGTCCCTTCTCTCTGGGTCACAAGGGCAGCAAGACGCTTTCCAGAGCAAGTCACTGCGAGGGCATGCGTTGTAAACAGACTGTCTAACCACAATAGCCAATGAAGCAGCAGTTCACAAACTGCTTTTACGCAGCAAAATTCTGAGCAGAGAGTCAGCAGCAACTGCCTCTGGCTGTTTCTCACACACCCCTCCCCGTTTCCCTTCTGAAAAAACGCTCCCACCCCCCCACCCCCAATGACCTCTTGCAGAGGGGAAAGCAGCAGGATTCCTTCTTCCTGGAAAACAATTAAAGTGAAACAAGACTGGTTTAACAAACAGGACTTTTCATTCTTCAATTAGCAAACTCAAATCGTTTCCCCCCCACCCTTTTTCTTCATCTGTCTGTTGAGTTTCATGGTGATGGCTAAAAAAATTGCTGAGTCACCATACTGACGATGTAGACAAGCAACCGCAAGGTTTTGAAATCTTTCTGGTTCTGGAATGTGTTTGCTTATATTACACAGCAACTTCACAAATGACCAGCACGCATGCTGCGGAGGAAGGAGTCTGAGTAAGGCATTCATCACAAGTCCATATGTGAGCCTTGAACCAAGGAGCCACCCCTGGGCATCTATCAGACTCCAAGTTCATGTGGCTTCCACAGGCAAAACCAAGCAGACCATCAGCTTGAACAGAAAGTGGTTTCCTGTGTTTCTACTTAACGAGAAAGAAGCCTTGCAAGAGTGACAGTGCTCAGCATTTGTTTGCAAAATAGCAAACAGAAAGATAATTGCAGGGAATATAGGAAGGCAAATGCTCCTACTTTTAAGGGTTGTGTGCATGCTTCAAAACTGATTCAGGAAAAATGTTCCATGCATCCTGTGAGTGCAACTTCTCTCTCCTATTTTCAATACAGCCTGATCTTTTCAGGCTCCCACACATGCTTGTAAAAAAGAAAGAAAAAGAATGGTGCCACCACTTTGAAAATCATATTAATTTCTAGGAGTGGATTCTTTCTTAAAACAGCAGTAGCACTTTTTAAAAGTCACTTTTGTTAATTCTGATGAATGTTTTTTTTTAAAAAAAAAAACAATGGTACCAATCCATTCACTGAACAAGTATAGTCTGAAAAATTAACTACAGAAGGCTGAGCTTGCCACTCAGTTACAGAGCTCTCCATATTTGAAAACGGCTCCATTCTTAAAAAGTAACACAAACTCAAAAGCAGCTCAGGTGTGTCACATAGATCCATAATGGAATGGGATTTAGTGGCAATGAAAAAGCACATCATTACAGCCACTGTGAAACCCACCTAGTGGAGCTCTTCATTTTAACTTTCCGCTGCCTAACTTGGCTACTTTTGTATGATGTGTGTAGCACAATTCCCCAAGGAGATGCTTTGAAAAGAACTAGCAAAAGGACCCACAGAACAGCTGAAATAAAGAACTATTGTTATAACCTTCAGTGTAATAAATGTCTTGGAAAAGAATTTGATCTTTCACTGCTTTCGGGGGTGATTCAAACCACATACAAGCTTCCTTGTTATCATCAAAATAACTAGACAATGATGCACATAACAGCAACATATTCTAGGTTAACGGAAGAATGGAACTGTAATAATAGCTCTAAAAACTTGGAACAGGAGTTTTCTTCCCACTGTGTGTTCATCCATTTATCTTATCCCATTGTTACTCCTGGTGAAACAGATTCTTGGAATAAGATCAGATCAGTAGAATCTATTTAATCCTTGCCAAAGATACATCTCCTAAATCTAAATAAATGAACATACAGCCCTGAATGCTTTTATTTACCCAATGCCAAGCTTTGGTATTAAGTGGACTGCACCCCAGACAATGACAAGTCCTACACTCATGTATTTTCACTCTAGCAAGTGGGAGCTCCCATTCTGAAGCTGTATAGCGGCCAAGGATATGATGTGTGGTTTAATATCAGCTTTACCCTATAACTGTACATCTGTACCTGAATTACTGTTCTTGTTTTCTTGCATCACATTCATACATCATATAAAATGACATTTAAGGTGCTATCCTGTACAGTTTAGTTAGATGTGAATCCAACTGATCTTGAGTCAACAGATATTACTTCAACCGAAACATAGTCCCCTTAAGTGTACCGGTATGTTCTTAAGAGTAAGGCAACAACCCCAAATTTATTTATTCATATTATCTATCAAAATACCCCTGACCCATTGGGTCATAATTTTAGAGGTATACAGTACCCATGTCAGATTTCTCAATGCTTTCAAACAATGGGAGACCTTCTAATGTACTGCTTTCACTGGAAACATTCTTAAAAATTCAGGGAGATATTGTTGTCTTGAAAATACTGCACGTTAAATTGTATAACATCAGGAGTTAACGACGGGATTTTTTTTAAACTTTCTGTATTAATATTTATGTCATAAATGTTTTAGAAAATTTGCCAAATTTTAATTCCATGGGAGTCATGGGTTCCAGATTTTGGGTGCATTCTGTAAATTAGCCCACTTGAAGTATCTTGATTAAAAAAATTTGCCCCATGAAGGACCATTTTGCCCAGTTAAAGGTTATAGGAACAAGAGTTTTAGTAGTATAGATAAAGCTGCCTATCACTCACAAAATAACTCTGGTTGGCTTAACGGAAGTTAAAACAAATACATCAAACATTACCCCACCCATCTCCAATGCCTAAAGATAAACCGTTAACTTTATTGAGCAACAATAGTGGTAGACCTCATCTACCCCTTGACTCAAATGCCTGGGGAAACAACCAGGACTTATTTCAATGCCTTGCAAGAGGCTGTTATTATATATGGGTACTCATTGTAATTTGGAATTTACTCCCAGTATGCAAGTGTTAATATATCACATGATCAATGGGATTTACTTCTAACTCACACAAGGCCATGCTACACAGATCACTTCTTAAGTTTCAAAACTCGAATCAATTTAAGTGATACCTAGGATTTTTTTTTCAGAGCATGTACATATGACCATAATGTGTATCTACATGCTGCTGCATGCATATTTATCCTGCCTTCACACTCAGAAATGTACACGTTATGTCATTGGCACATTCATTCATTTACATATTGACTATGAACCTCCATATTGGAAGACTCTTTCCAAATACAGACGCTTCCAAACAGATGGCTCTTATGATATCTTAAAGAATTGGGGGGGGGGGGAGTTTTAAAAAAATGAATAAAAGCTAGGAACACATGTGAAAACTGCAAATATAAAACATATCTTTGCTCCAGCCTTAAATCCCATATGTACCAAGTAGTACACACACAAACTTTTCTCTGGAAGCATCCTTAGTATTTCGTAATGTGCGAAATATGCCACATTACTTATGAAAGTTAATTAAAAATAGGCTTGTTTTAGATATCCTTGGCTAAAGTAGTACTGGAGTATTGGACCTACCTCTCTTCTCCCCTCCCCATGAATTAGATGAACGTCATCCAGGTCATTGGTTGTCCCAAAAGTGCTTTTTCAAAAGGCAACTGGACTTTTTGTGTGTTTGTTTCTCCTGAAAATGCCTGAAGATGCTTGGATGAGAAGCAAAACATTTTCAAGAGAAAAAAACAACAACCCAAAAGTCCAATTGCCTTTTGAAAAAGCACCTTTGGACATGAGTGAGATAGTTTTCAAAGTCAATTAACACTTTTTTAGCAATTTTATATACTTTTTTTAAAAAATCTAGACCTTGCTTTATCCATTTGGAGAAAAATTAAGGGCCATCCTGTCTCTTTTATCCAGGTTGAGGCAAGATTTTTACCCCAAGCCCTGTGATGGGGTTGCAGTTTTAGGCACTCGAGGGAACAAACCCAACCGAATACAATTGGATAAAAAATATTCAGGTGGTATTCTCACAACCCTTGTAATCAAAATTAGTTCAACCATAAATGACTATCAACCCCCTCTCGCTGGCCTCGCACAAGCACACCAAACTTGCTTTACAGATCAGGTTGGCCGGATTTCTCCCAGCCGCCGAGGGCTCGAACGAGCAAGCTGCTGCCTTTGGGATTCGCCTGTTACGTGAACCCAACCGCCTCAGCTAAAGATGCGCGTTGTCGACCGGCGAAAGGCAAGGCGAGCTGGAGAGAACCTCCGACTCTAATACCCCGTCTCGTCTGCCTTGCCCGATTCGCTCACCTTCCAGATGGGGGGCCGAGAGCTCTCGGATCGCCCTCACCCAGGTCTCGGCAACGTGCCGGTTCTCTTCGGCGTCCTGCGACGCCAAGACGCAAAAGGTCTTCGCTACCTTCTGCCGAGATTCCCCGCGGTACCACCAGCCCTTCTTGAAAGGGTAGCAAACGACGCAGAAGTAGGCGGCCGCCGGCTGCTTCGAGGCGCTCCTGCTTTGGAAAGCGTAGCAGCCCACGCAAGTGGAGAGGCTCAGCGCGCTGCCCGCGTTGCTGCTCCGGCCGGCCGAGTCCAGCCGGCGCACCAGCAGCTCCGAGCCGCTTGTGAGGCTCAGGGCACAGTTCACCTTCAGAGAAGGGACGAGGCGAAAGACGCCCGAGAGCAAAACTTCCTCGGAAGCGCCTCGGCCCGAATCTCCTTCCATCGCCTCAGCCGCAAGGAGCGGAGCGGGCGACCCGGCGCGAAGCGAGAGCTGAGCTCAGTGAGGCGAGCGAAGCAACGCTGCTCCGGGACTTTCTTCTCAATGAGCGGCGGGTGGCCGGCTTTTGAGATTGGCGCTTTGCTCTCTGGGGCCATCGGCAGGCCGCTCCCGGGAATGGCGGGAAGCGGGATTCATTCAAGACGAACGCCCAGCGCTTCACAAAGCCGGTCGCTTTTTAGCCTGCTCTTCTTGTGCGCACGAAAGATTTCGTTTAAAAAGTTTACCTGGCTGGGCCCGCGAACTAAAAATCCGACCGGTCCCCAAACTGTTTGTTTAGAGGACTCTAATAAGTTCCACGGGGATTAGGGCAGGTGTTTTTAGTTGATCTTGACTGATCTTGTAAAAACTGGGTAGGGTTGGATTTGGTTTGTCCATGGATGGGAAGTTCTCAGGTCCATAGGCCAGAAAGTAAAGTAAAAACATCTCAGAAGCTAGCTTGTTAAGCCTACAGTACTCCTTGACTTACCACCACAATTCAGCCCAAAATTTATGTTGTTAAGTGGAACAGTTGTTAAGTGAATTTTGCCCTATTTTACAACTTTTCTTGCCATAGTTAAGCGAATTACAGCAATTGTTACATGAGTACAGTACAGTTGTGAAGCCAGTCTGGCTTCCCCATTGACTTTGCTTGTAGACCTTTGCAAGAGGTGGTCCCCATGATCCTGGGACACGGCAACCATCATAAATATGAGTCAATTGCCAACTGTTTGAATTTGGATCACGTGACCGTGGGGATGCTGCAATGGTCATAAATGTGAAAAATGGTCATAAGTAACTTTTTTCAGTGCCATGATAACTTCAAATGATTACTAAACAAATTGTTGTAAGTTGAGGATTACCTGTATTTGGTGCTGTTGCCGTAAGAACAATCGAGGCATGGGTCTGAAGACTTCATTTGTCCCTTTCCTTTGTATCTGACATGGACTAAACAAAAATGTCTTCAAACTGCAGAGTTTCGAGGCCCAAAAGTTTCATTTCTTTGCTATTCAGCAGGCAAGTAGGCTGATAGCAATGTTGCCATTAGTATAGACACCTGTTTCCAACTCTAATTACCACAACTGGCTGAAATCTCTGCAGAAGACACCAGACATTTTGTAATATTTTAAAGAACATCCTGCCAAACACAAAATGGACTTTGTCCCAGTTTTCATTGAAAAGGTAGAAGTCTAAGAGATCATGGTAACTAGTCTAGATTTTATATAAGGCTTTTCGTGGAATTAGAGGTGGCACCAGTGATGTAACTATTGTGAAGACAGGGAAGATAGATGTTGGGATTTGCAGGCAATGGACCACCTGACTCCCACTTGCTGCGCAGTCCTTGCCCCACAAGTTTATCCAACTTCATGCCATAAGGTTGAAATTGCATTAGGAATTATCCTTGTCCCAGAAGATAGATTTAAGATACAGAAGGATCTTGACAGACTTGAACATTGGGCACTATCTAACAAAATGAAATTCAATGGTGAAAAAAGTAAGGTTCTACATTTAGGCAAGAAAAATCAAATGCACAGGTCCAGTATTTGGGGTACCTCGCTCAATAGTAGTAACTATGAGGGATCTCGGAGTCCTAGTGGACAACCATTTAAATATGAGCCAGCAGCTTCTAAAAAAGCCAACGCAGTCCTAGTCTGCATAAACAGAATCAAGGTCACATGAAGTGTTAATACCACTTTATAATGCCTTGGTAAGGCCACACTTACTGCATTCTGTTTTGGTTGCCACGTTGTAAGAGAGATTTTGAGACTCTAGAAAGAATGCAGAGAAGAGCAACAAAGATGATTAGGGGACTGGAGGCTAAAACATATGAAGAACAGTTTCAGGAACTGGGTATGTCTAGTCTAATGAAAAGAAGGACTAGGGGAGACATGATAGCAGTGTTCCAATATCTCGGGGTCTGCCACAAAGAAGAGGGAGTCGAGCTATTCTCCAAAGCACCTGAGGGCAGGACAAGAAGCAATGGGTGGAAGCTAATCAAGGAGAGAAGCAACCTAGAACTAAGGAAAAATTTCCTGAGAGTTAGAACAATTGATCAGTGGAACAACTTGCCTCCAGAAGTTGTGAATGCTCCAACACTGGAAGTTTTTAAAAGGATATTGGATAACCATTTGTCTGAAATGGTGTAGGGTTTCCTGCCTAGGCAGGGGGTTGGACTAGAAGACCTCCAAGGTCCCTTCCAACTCTGTCTATTCTATTCTATTCTATTCTATTCTATTCTATTCTATTCTATTCTATTCTATTCTATTCCTTCCACTGAAACCTAACAGATGTCAGTGGTTCTGAAAATTACCTTGCCTGGGCCGTGAACATCGAACATTATACAGAGCCACTGATATTTGCATAGCAACTCCTTCCAGAAGAAAAGGTAAGTATATTACCGTATTCCAAAAGAAAAAGAAAACCTTCATCAAGTGGCTTGAAACATCTTAAAAATTAAGGTATTTCTTATGGCATGTCTTGCTTGGATCCCTTTTTTTAAAAAAAAGAAAGATGAAAACCTATGGGGGAGGGGATATCCAGAGCTGTCCAAAATCCCCTATAAAATATTGTGCTGTGGCATATTTTAAGAATAATACTACTAGATGCCTCCTTGTTTCTATGATAAGTGAATAACTATTATCACCCATTACTTATTAAACAACTAGTAAAGACACAAGGTTTGCTGAAAAAAGAAAACCCCAAGGTTGTAAGACCTAGCACAAAAAAAGATATGCTAAGTAAAATTTTAGCAGCTGAACTTCTGCCTGGGAGGCTCTCTAACACAGAAGTAGTAAGAGCAGGTTGCTAGAAATAGCAGCAGTCCAAACCAAATAACTCACAAAAACATGGAATTGTCAGGTATTTATTTCCATTTGTTGATTCCAGAGGTGTGGATGTCTTCAAATAATTATTTACCCTTCCTCCCATTTTCATAACTCTCTATGCACAGTAACACTATTTTGCTTTGATCCACTGATTCTAAAGTAATTGATTGCCCAGCAACAATTGCACAGCGAGTCTGGCTAAAGCCTGATTGAGAGCTTATACTGTATATGATTCCAATAGAAGAGAATATATGTAGCTCAGGACTGAATCATGGAATCTTTGGTACTCTCTGAACTTGAATGTTTGATTGTAAATGTTTCATTATCCAACTAGGCTAGTCAGTAGGGGGTTTGCTGCCTTTTTACATACAGTAGTTTGCTCTTTTAATGTTGATGGGAGAGGTTTTCTTTTAGAAGTTCCTTGATTAAGGTATTGTTTTTCACTTGATTGTTTGATGTTAATTCTTGCTTATCTGAATGTAGCTGCTGGATTTGTTCTGGCCTTTTTGTTTCTTTCTTAGGTTTTTTTAATTGTCTTTTTTGAATGGTGTGTAAATGTGGTTTGTATGTCTACTGATGGCTGATTTGTCCAAATGTCAAGTTTCTAGGAATTCCCTAGTGTTTTTGGATTTAGCTTGGTTTAGGTTGCTCACAGTTTCCCTCTTGAAACAGTGGCTGAATCTGTCCATGTGTTATGAGAGTAAGGAATTTTCATCATGCCGTTTGACTGCTAGTTGATGTTCATGGATGCACTCTACTAATATTCTGTCTGTTTGTCCTACATAGTGGCTGTTAAAGTTGTTACACTCTATGTTATAGATTCCTATTTTTAATTCTTGGGCCAGTGGTTCTTTCGGTTTACTTTACATGATATGTAAACATTTAGTGTAAAACATTTAATTAGTTTTGTGCTCCAGTGATGCTGTGTGATTGTAATAATCGGTTGATTGTTTCCAAGATGTTTTTGACTTGTTGTTTTCTTCTTTCCTTGTGAATGTTATTCCTTTGATGATGTTGTTTCGTGTATCTTTTCTCTTCCCCTTTTTATGATGAAGATTATCATTTGCAAACTAGATCCATACTTTTGGTTGCATGTGTGGGAGTACTTTAAACATTGCGGTCCCACATATACAACCAAACATATGGATCCAGTATATTAACAATACCTGTAATAAAAAAAACAAAAAACCAACATATTACTCTCCCTGGATGTCATCATCTGCAGAGGAAAAAACAAATTAGAAATGCAAGTCTATCAAAAAATAACCCATACTAACCAAGTATTCTATTACCAAAATAATAACCGAGCAATGTAAGAACACTATTCAGACAAACAAAAACGCAGAGCACTAGAAAAAGGAAACAGACCACCTACACAACATCTTCCAAAAAATGGATTTTTTAAAAATAAAAAAGTGCCTAACCACTTAATCCACTTCAACACAACCAACCAAGCTACGTAAAGGTTAACAGCAGGGGTGGGATTCTACCAGTTCGCACCTATTCACTACAACTGGTTGTTAACATTCTAAGCAGTTTGGAGAACCAGTTGTTAGAAGAAATTACTGGCCTAATCCTGTAAGGAAGGCAGGAAGGAAACATTCTGGTGTTGCTTACAGAAACTGCCTCTCCATTAACCCTTATTACATTCTTGACAGGACTGGACTTCCTGTCTCAGGAACGTCTCTGGAGTTTTTTCCCCTCCTTTGCTGTTACTTTGCTTGTGTGGAGTGACCATTCAAAGTTACAATGGCACTGAAAAAAGTGACTTATGACCATTTTTCACAGTTACAACTGTTGCAGCATCCCCACAGTCATGAGACGCTAGGCAAGGAGATGCGTGCCTTGATGTGAGTGATATTGGGTTGGCCACGTCCAGCCAATAACATGACCACCAAGCCACGCCCACCAACTAAGCCATGCCCACAGAACCAGTTGTTAAAAAATTTGAATCCCACCCCTGGATAACAGTACCATACATCAAAAATATTTTAGAAACAACCAACATATTATTGCAACTATATAGCATCACCATAGTGCACAATTGACAAATAAAAATAAATAAAATACAAATAAATAAACAAACCAATTAAAACCCTCCAAACCATCTTACATAAATCCAAAGACCCAGTAGCCCAGGAA